GACTGTTTCTGGAGCCCAGCCAGCGGAAGGGTCGGTGCAGGGGGCGCGGAGAGGAGATTAGATCTGGGGGAAAGGCGTAGGATCCTGGTCACGTGGAGGAGGGGGGCGTGCCGCCGTGTTCTCAGCCTCGCCTCGCCAGGGTTTGTGAAGCTGCGCAGGGTCCACGGTGAGCTCCTGGGGGTGGGGGGAGGGCCGAGGAGGGCCCGGCCGGGCAGGCCCAGTCCAGCCTGGGGCCCTGTGTGGAGGGAGGTGGAGTCGGGGAGAGAGAAGACCGGAGGCAGCTGGGCCCATTGGGAGCACAGGTGTATGACAGTGATCCAGAGCCTGGGCATCCCAGGGCTCATGCCTGTCATCCCAGCTACTCAGGAGGCTGAGATCTGAGGATCGAGGTTCAAAGCCAGCCCAGGCAGGAAAGTCCATGAGACTCTTATCTCCAGTTAATCACCAGAAAACCACAAGTGGCGCTGTGGCTCAAGTGGTAGAGCACTAGCCTGGAGCAAAGCTCAGTGCCCAGACCCAGACCCCACAACCACCACAACCGCCATCACCACCAACCAACGTATTCCTTCATTTCTGTATGGATTGTGCACACTCCTGCTTGAAAAGGAGAAAAGAACGTAGAGTCAGGGGTTTTCTTCTTCCCTCCCGAGTCTCTTTCACGCTCCCTTCGGGTATTTTATGTGCTGAGAATCGAATACCTACTTCTCGACCGCACACCCGCAGACACGCACCTCTGCTGCTGCCTCAGCGCAGCCCTGTGCTCTCCCGCGCCAGCCCGCATGGTGGGGGTCGCTCTAGCAGTGAAGAGGCCCCTTCGGTGGATGGCGGTCCTGTTCAGCTGTCACCTCCACCCCGGACATCATGTCATCACAACTTTGGCAGCCAAATGTCCGCCGCAGTGCAGTTCACGTGTATGTAAACGTGGCTGGTCAATGCTCACGTGCATGTCGATGATTTTCCCAAATAGGCTTCCTATCACTTTAAAGGGCAGCCCGCCACGCGGACCAGCGGAGGCTGCTGTGGAGGCCGGAGAGCCTGCCTGCGGCCTGGGTGGCCGTCCCCCAGATCTGGGCACGCGTCCGTCCCGTGGGCGGGCAGGGTCCTGGCTGCGCTCAGTCCTCTGCGGGGACATGCAGCTCACCGTGGGCAGCGCCGTGGGGCCCCTCCCTCCGCAGAGGCCGAGGCGGAGGCGGAGGCCCGCGGTGGGCGCTGCCCTGTGGCTGGCTCTGGCCGGGCAGCGGAGGCCGGGCACACGCGGGCCTGCCTGCAGTCCGGGCACACAGCTTCCCCGAGACTCGGCAGTGACCAGGAGGCCTCTGAGGAGTGGACAGTGTCCCCGGGTCTTAGCACCCTTTGTAGCCAGCTGCTGGGCCATGCACGAGTGGCAGGCAGTGCGGGACGGGTCAGCTAGCCGGTGGCTCATCGGCAGCCCACAGCAGAGGCCTCCCGCCGGGCCCTTCCTTTTACCCTCCTCCTGCACCCTCCTCCCGCACCCTCCTCCTCCCGCACCCTCCTCCCGCACCCTCCTCCCTCACCCTCCTCCCTCACGCTCCTCCTCCACCCTCCTCCCTCACGCTCCTCCTCCTCCACCCTCCTCCCTCACGCTCCTCCCTCACCCTCCTCCCTCACCCTCCTCCCTCACGCTCCTCCTCCTCCACCCTCCTCCCTCACGCTCCTCCCTCACCCTCCTCCCTCATGCTCCTTCCTCACCCTCCTCCCTCACCCTCCTCCCTCACCCTCCTCCACCCTCCTCCCTCACCCTCCTCTCTTACCTTCCTCCCTCACCTTCCTCATCCTCCCTCACCATCCTCCCTCACCCTCCTCCCTCCACCTCTCCCCCTTCTGCCTCGTTTTCCCCCTCCTGTCTTCCCTCGCTCCTGTGTGCCCTGACAGGGCCCCTGGCGTCCTGTTCTCCCTGCTGCTGAGCTGGTGGTGGGGCGGGGCTCACAGCTGGGCATGGGGCGGGGTCAGGGCAGCGGAAGCAGGGCTCCACAGAGGAGCTGGGAGGACAGAAGGAATGGGGGTCACGCATGTGGGAAGTGTTCTCATACTCTGCATCTAGAGGGCTAGAAAACAGGTTGATCTGCTCACTGCCTCAAGCAATTCATAAAGCGGCTTGCATTTTCTAAAAACTAAATCCAAAGTTTCACCTTCTCCTTCCCACCAAGAATTCTCCCTCAGGCCTCTTCCTACCATAGTGTCTTGGCAGCTTAGAACTGCTTTGCCTCAGAAGGTTGCTGCCCACAGCTGGGCGAAGACCCCCCGCGCTCTCCCGCTTGAGTTAGAGCAGGAGTCTGAGCCCCGCGCGCCCTCCCGCGTGAGTTAGAGCAGGAGTCTGAGCCCCGCGCGCCCTCCCGCGTGAGTTAGAGCAGGAGTCTGAGCCCCGCGCGCGCTGTCCCGCGTGAGTTAGAGCAGGAGTCTGAGCCCTGCGCGCCCTCCCGGGTGAGTTAGAGCAGGAGTCTGAGCCCCGCGCGCGCTGTCCCGCGTGAGTTAGAGCAGGAGTCTGAGCCCCGCGCGCCCTCCCGCATGAGTTAGAGCAGGAGTCTGAGCCCCGCGCGCGCTCTCCCGCGTGAGTTAGAGCAGGAGTCTGAGCCCTGCGCGCCCTCCCGGGTGAGTTAGAGCAGGAGTCTGAGCCCCGGGCGCGCTGTCCCGCGTGAGTTAGAGCAGGAGTCTGAGCCCCGCGCGCCCTCCCGCATGAGTTAGAGCAGGAGTCTGAGCCCCGCGCGCGCTCTCCCGCGTGAGTTAGAGCAGGAGTCTGAGCCCCGCGCGCTTTCCCGCGTGAGTTAGAGCAGGAGTCTGAGCCCCGCCCGCGCTCTCCCGCGTGAGTTAGAGCAGGAGTCTGAGCCCCGCGCACTCTCCCGCGTGAGTTAGAGCAGGAGTCTGAGCCCCGCGCGCCCTCCCGCGTGAGTTAGAGCAGGAGTCTGAGCGCGCTCTCCCACGTGAGTGTAGAGCAGGAGTCTGAGCCCCGCGCGCTCTCCCGCGTGAGTTAGAGCAGGAGTCTGAGCCCCGCGCGCTTTCCTGCGTGAGTTAGAGCAGGAGTCTGAGCCCCGCGCGCTCTCCCGCGTGAGTTAGAGCAGGAGTCTGAGCCCCGCGCGCTGTCCCCCGTGAGTTAGAGCAGGAGTCTGAGCCCCGCGCGCGCTGTCCCGCGTGAGTTAGAGCAGGAGTCTGAGCCCCGCGCGCCCTCCCGCGTGAGTTAGAGCAGGAGTCTGAGCCCCGCGCGCGCTCTCCCGCGTGAGTTAGAGCAGGAGTCTGAGCCCCGCGCGCTCTCCCGCGTGAGTTAGAGCAGGAGTCTGAGCCCCGCGCGCGCTCTCCCGCGTGAGTTAGAGCAGGAGTCTGAGCCCCGCGCGCCCTCCCGCGTGAGTTAGAGCAGGAGTCTGAGCCCCGCGCGCCCTCCCGCGTGAGTTAGAGCAGGAGTCTGAGCCCCGCGCGCTCTCCCGCGTGAGTTAGAGCAGGAGTCTGAGCCCCGCGCGCTCTCCCGCGTGAGTTAGAGCAGGAGTCTGAGCCCCGCGCGCTCTCCCGCGTGAGTTAGAGCAGGAGTCTGAGCCCCGCGCGCGCTCTCCCGCGTGAGTTAGAGCAGGAGTCTGAGCCCCGCGCGCCCTCCCGCGTGAGTTAGAGCGGGAGTCTGAGCCCCGCGCGCCGTCCCGCGTGAGTTAGAGCGGGAGTCTGAGCCCCGCGCGCCGTCCCGCGTGAGTTAGAGCAGGAGTCTGAGCCCCGCGCGCTCTCCCGCGTGAGTTAGAGCAGGAGTCTGAGCCCCGCGCGCCGTCCCGCGTGAGTTAGAGCAGGAGTCTGAGCCCCGCGCGCTCTCCCGCGTGAGTTAGAGCAGGAGTCTGAGCCCCGCGCGCTCTCCCGCGTGAGTTAGAGCAGGAGTCTGAGCCCCGCGCGCTCTCCCGTGTGAGTTAGAGCAGGAGTCTGAGCCCCGCGTGCTCTCCCGCGTGAGTTAGAGCAGGAGTCTGAGCGCGCTCTCCCACGTGAGTGTAGAGCAGGAGTCTGAGCCCCGCGCGCTCTCCCGCGTGAGTTAGAGCAGGAGTCTGAGCCCCGCGCGCTTTCCTGCGTGAGTTAGAGCAGGAGTCTGAGCCCCGCGCGCCCTCCCGCGTGAGTTAGAGCAGGAGTCTGAGCCCAGCGCGCCGTCCCGCGTGAGTTAGAGCAGGAGTCTGAGCCCCGCGCGCTCTCCCGCGTGAGTTAGAGCAGGAGTCTGAGCCCCGCGCGCTCTCCCGCGTGAGTTAGAGCAGGAGTCTGAGCCCCGCGCGCTCTCCCGTGTGAGTTAGAGCAGGAGTCTGAGCCCCGCGTGCTCTCCCGCGTGAGTTAGAGCAGGAGTCTGAGCCCCGCGCGCGCTGTCCCGCGTGAGTTAGAGCAGGAGTCTGAGCCCCGCGCGCGCTGTCCCGCGTGAGTTAGAGCAGGAGTCTGAGCCCCGCGCGCTCTCCCGCGTGAGTTAGAGCAGGAGTCTGAGCCCCGCGCGCTTTCCCGCGTGAGTTAGAGCAGGAGTCTGAGCCCCGCGCGCTCTCCCGCGTGAGTTAGAGCAGGAGTCTGAGCCCCGCGCGCTCTCCCGCGTGAGTTAGAGCAGGAGTCTGAGCCCCGCGCGCTCTCCCGCGTGAGTTAGAGCAGGAGTCTGAGCCCCGCGCGCTTTCCTGCGTGAGTTAGAGCAGGAGTCTGAGCCCCGCGCGCCCTCCCGCGTGAGTTAGAGCAGGAGTCTGAGCCCCGCGCGCTCTCCCGCGTGAGTTAGAGCAGGAGTCTGAGCCCCGCGCGCTCTCCCGCGTGAGTTAGAGCAGGAGTCTGAGCCTTTACAGAGCTGCACAGGAGCGGTGTGCGTGTGGCGTCGGCCCTGCCTGGGCAGCCGGCGCTCTCTGCCCGGGGCCTTTGTGTCCTCCGCTCTCCAGATGTGTCCGTGGCTCAGTGACACGGGCAGGCCCAGTCCTAGACCAGGCCGCAGCCCCTCATGGGCTGGCCCCCACCCCGCCGGCCTGGGAGGTGGGCAGCCTCTGACCTCTGCTGTCTCCCCACAGGGGCTCAGATCATCGACCTCATGATGCTGGTCATCGACGTTACCAAGGGCATGCAGACGCAGTCCGCGGAGTGCCTGGTGATTGGCCAGATCGCCTGCCAGAAGCTGGTCGTGGTGCTCAACAAGGTGGACCTTCTGGCCGAGGGCAAGAGGCAGGCGGCCATCGACAGGATGACCAAGCGCATGCGGAAGACGCTGGAGGGCACCAAGTGAGTGCCGCCCTGTGAGGAGGCGTCCGTGTGTCCCGGGTCAGCCGTGTCCGTGTGTGTGTCCCGGGTCAGGGGTGTCTGTGTGTATCCGGGTCAGGGGTGTGCAGGTGTATACAGGTCAGGGGTGTACGGGTGTGTCCTGGGTCAGGGGTGTCCGTGTGTATCTGGGTGAGGGGTGTCTGGGTGTATCCGGGTCAGGGGTGTCCGGGTGTATCCAGGTCAGGGGTGTCCGGGTGTGTCCAGGTCAGGGGTGTCCGGGTGTATCCAGGTCAGGGGTGTCCGGGTGTGTCCCGTGTCAGGGGTGTCCGGGTGTATCCGGGTGAGGGGTGTCTGGGTGTATCCGGGTCAGGGGTGTCCGGGTGTATCCGGGTCAGGGGTGTCCGGGTGTATCTGGGTCAGCCGTGTCCGGGTATATCTGGGTCAGGGGTGTCTGGGTGTATCCGGGTCAGCCGTGTCCGGGTGTATCTGGGTCAGGGGTGTCCGGGTGTGTCCCGGGTCAGCTGTGTCCGGGTGTATCCGGGTGAGGGGTGTCCGGGTGTATCCGGGTCAGGGGTGTCCCGGTGTATCTGGGTCAGCTGTGTCCGTGTGTATCTGGGTCAGGGGTGTCCGTGTGTATCTGGGTCAGGGGTGTCCGTGTGTATCTGGGTAAGCCGTGTCCGTGTGTATCTGGGTCAGGGGTGTCCGTGTGTATCTGGGTCAGGGGTGTCCGTGTGTATCTGGGTCAGGGGTGTCCGGGTGTATCTGGGTCAGGGGTGTCCGTGTGTATCTGGGTCAGGGGTGTCTGGGTGTATCTGGGTCAGCTGTGTCCGTGTGTATCTGGGTCAGGGGTGTCCGTGTGTATCTGGGTCAGGGGTGTCCGTGTGTATCTGGGTCAGGGGTGTCCGGGTGTGTCCCGGGTCAGCTGTGTCCGGGTGTGTCCCGGGTGAGGGGTGTCCGGGTGTGTCCCGGGTCAGGGGTGTCCGGGTGTATCCGGGTCAGCCGTGTCCGGGTGTATCTGGGTCAGGGGTGTCCGGCTGTATCTGGGTCAGCCGTGTCCGTGTGTATCTGGGTCAGGGGTGTCCGTGTGTATCTGGGTCAGCCGTGTCCGGGTGTATCTGGGTCAGGGGTGTCCGGGTGTGTCCCGGGTCAGCTGTGTCCGTGTGTATCTGGGTCAGGGGTGTCCGGGTGTATCTGGGTCAGGGGTGTCCAGGTGTGTCCCGGGTCAGCTGTGTCCGGGTGTGTCCCGGGTGAGGGGTGTCCGGGTGTATCCGGGTCAGGGGTGTCCGGGTGTATCCGGATCAGCCGTGTCCGGGTGTGTCCCGGGTGAGGGGTGTCCGGTGTATCCGGGTCAGGGGTGTCCGGGTGTATCCGGGTCAGCTGTGTCCGGGTGTATCTGGGTCAGGGGTGTCCAGGTGTGTCCCGGGTCAGCTGTGTCCGGGTGTGTCCCGGGTGAGGGGTGTCCGGGTGTATCCGGGTCAGCCGTGTCTGGGTGTGTCCCGGATCAGCTGTGTCCGTCTGTGAGGTACTCCTCGTCCGCACGGCTGGCAGGCTGCCCCCCTCCCTGCTCTGTAAGCAAAGCTGTCTGGTGCCACAGATGCGGAGCAGAGCTTGGTGTTGCTGCCGTTGTCTCCGGGTACCGTCCCGCCACGGCACCCCACGGTCCTGTGTCCTGAGCGCTGGCCTGTGTCCCACGCCTGCCTTCTGTGCGCCCAGGCATTTGAGGCCTCGGGGCCCGTCCCTGTGTAGAAGGCTGGGCCTGCCGTGGTGCACGCTGGCCATGGCCGGCATCTCAGCCAGGCCCCGTGCCAGGGAGACCAGAGCTGTGATGCCCACTTGGGGCGGGTGCCGGCGGCGGTGAGCCGCGTCATTGACAGACGCTGAGGAGGCCGGTGGGGCCTGCCCCCCCCGTCCCACCTTGGGGCGAGGCGTCCCTGGGGTCTGTGCAGGGTGGCTGGCCGGCCTGTCCCTGCAGGTGGTCGCTGGCCGCCGGGTCGGAGGTGAAGGGAGAGCCTGAAAGCCAAACCGGCGGTGGCGGCGGCATCCCTCATCGTCTGCGGTCTGATTCTGCGGGGCAGCAGGGCACTGGCCGAGGGGCGCTGGCCCAGCATTGGCCAGGGCAGGAGGGCGTGGCGCTGCCAGGCCAGGTGTGCAGAGGGCAGGGTGTGGGACCCGCGGTCCAGCCCAGAATGATGACTCTGGTGTGGTTGAGAAGACCAGGACGCCGCCCTCTTCCGCTCCCGGCCGGGCCCCCAATCCACATGGAGCAGCCATCATGGGGAGAGGGGCCCCCGATCCACACGGAGCAGCCATCACGGGGCGACGGGCCCCCGGTCCACACGGAGCAGCCATCACGGGGCGACGGGCCCCCGATTCACACGGAGCAGCCGTCACGGGGAGACGGGCCCCCGATCCACACGGAGCAGCCGTCACAGGGAGACGGGCCCCCGATCCACACGGAGCAGCCGTCACGGGGAGACGGGCCCCCGATCCACACGGAGCAGCCGTCACGGGGAGACGGGCCCCCGATCCACACGGAGCAGCCGTCACGGGGAGACGGGCCCCCCGATCCACACGGAGCAGCTGTCACGGGGAGACGGGCCCCCGATCTACACGGAGCAGCCATCACGGGGAGATGGGTCCCCGATCCACACAGAGCAGCCATCACGGGGAGACAGGCCCCCCGATCCACACGGAGCAGCTGTCACGGGGAGACGGGCCCCCGATCCACACGGAGCAGCCATCACGAGGAGACGGGTCCCCGGTCCACACGGAGCAGCCATCACAGGGAGACGGGTCCCCGATCCACACGGAGCAGCCATCACGGGGAGACGGGCCCCCGATCCACACGGAGCAGCCATCACGGGGAGATGGGTCCCCGGTCCACACGGAGCAGGCGTCACGGGGAGACGGGCCCCCGATCCACACGGAGCCGCGGTCACGGGGAGACGGGCCCCCGATCCACACGGAGCCGCGGTCACGGGGAGACGGGCCCCCGATCCACACGGAGCAGCCGTCACAGGGAGACGGGCCCCCGGTCCACACGGAGCCGCGGTCACGGGGAGACGGGCCCCCCAATCCACACGGAGCAGCCGTCACGGGGAGACGGGCCCCCGATCCACCCGGAGCAGCCATCACGGGGAGACGGCCCCCCTGCCTCCCGCTCTGCAGCCGGCACAATATCCTGCGTGCCGCCCTGCCATAAAGATTGGTTGGCCTTCCCAGTTACGATATGGTTTTTTTCAGAATCAGCACCTGCAGTTCTCCCCCAGAATTCTCAGGTTGGTTAAATTAAAGCCCCAGCCTGTGAATGGACCAAATGTGTCATGAAAGATTCCTGGCCTGCCTTTTGTTTGCAAAATTCATCAATCCGATAAAATCGACACATTTAGATAAGTGTTGCATAAGAATTCAGACTTTGTTATTCCCCACGGAAGTGGATATGAGACTGTAAAAAGGAAGATAAAACACTGGGCCTTCTTTTGGTAAGTTATTGGAGGCCTGCGGTTCTATTTTCTTGTCAGGAAGGAGAGGGCAGGCCTCGTGGACCCCCAAAGCATGGCGGGTGTCAGGACCACTCCCTGTGGGGAACAGGCCTGGCCTGCTCTCGAAGGTGAAGCGACACCCAAACCCTGGTTAGTTACACGGACGGAAAATCCTCACTTGCACGTTTAAATTGATACTATTACTTCAGTGACTGCGAGGTCAGGTCGTGGACTTTATCAGAGCAGTCCGCCCGTCCTCAGCGCTGGCAGGAGAGGGCCCTGCCCGGTGACCAGCTGGGCCCGAGGCCCTGGGGCCCACCTCCGGATCTGCCCACGCAGCCGAACTTTCCTGACAGCTCTGAGTTCCTCATCAAGTACATTTTTTTAAATGCGAAGAACATTTTTATCTAGAAAAAGTGAACCTCTCACTTATCAAAACCTGAAAAACATAGAACATATTTTTCAATCCAGAGAACAATTGAAAGGGAACTTGGAGAGTAGGGGCTCCGGCCGCAGGTCCTCGAAGAGCGGCTGCTGCAATTTTGGGTTAAAACCTTTTTTTTGTACTCTTTAGTTCTTGATAGTCTGTTTCAATAAGTGAAAATTCTACATCTCACCTGGTTTTTTGTGGCCGCTGTTTTGGAATCATATCTGTGGAGTCCTTGCCAAATCCAGTGTCCTGAATAACTTTCCTAGTGCCTGTCTTTCCAATTTATAGTTTTAGCTTTTAAGATTAAGCTCGGACCGTGTGAGCTGTGTGTGTGTGTGTGTGTGTGTGTGTGTGTGTGTGTGAGGTAGGAGCTGTGTGTGTGTGTATGTGTGAGGTAGGAGCTGTGTGTGTGTGTGTGTGTGTGAGGTAGGAGCTGTGTGTGTGTGTTTGTGAGGTAGGAGCTGTGTGTGTGTGTATGTGTGAGGTAGGAGCTGCGTGTGTGTGTGTGTGCGCACGCGCGCGTGTGTGTGTGAGGTAGCAGCTGGGGGGCGCTCTTGTGTGCGTAGCTGTCCATCTCGCATCCGGCACCCGCACGCATGGAGCTGCGTGTGTGTGTGTGTGCACGCGCGCGTGTGTGTGTGAGGTAGCAGCTGGGGGGCGCTCTTGTGTGCGTAGCTGTCCATCTCGCATCCGGCACCCGCACGCATGCAGCTGTGTGTGTGTGCGTGTGTGTGTGTCTGTGTGTGCACGCGCGCGTGTGTGTGTGAGGTAGCAGCTGGGGGGGCGCTCTTGTGTGCGTAGCTGTCCATCTTGCATCCGGCACCCGCACGCATGGAGCTGCGTGTGTGTGTGTGTGTGCGCACGCGCGCGTGTGTGTGAGGTAGCAGCTGGGGGGCGCTCTTGTGTGCGTAGCTGTCCATCTCGCATCCGGCACCCGCACGCATGCAGCTGTGTGTGTGTCTGTTACAAGTCCGTCTTCCCAGTCTGTGTGTCCTGTCAGGACCGAGACTTGGGGGTTCGGGTTCAGGAAGTAGGGTTCTCACGTCTGATTTGTCCAAGATGGTTTTGGGGACTTACAATCCCCCGCGTTTGAGGTGTGTGTTTCCATT